GAAATAAGTATTTTGCAGTTAAGCTCCGCCCCATTTGGTTCACGGCGAATAAAAAAATCGTCACAATTGAAACGAGGGTGGGTGGGCGGGGTATATATTTTGCCTGTTTTTCATACTACAGGTCGTTTTCTTTTCACAAAAAAAAACTGAGCATATGTAAAAAAAAATCATAGAGAAGTGTCGGAGATAAAATTTACCATTTTAAACATGTGTTCAATTTCTTGTTATGAAAAGAAAACTACCTAGATTAAGAAAAATACAGGAAAAATATTAAAACCCGCCCACCCGCCCTCATCTCATTTGTGATGATTTTGTCTTATTCATCGTGAGTCGGGGGGCGGAGCTAAATAGCAAAATCTACATTTAAAGTTTTTAAGAGTCACACCCACATATGGGACGCAAGAGAAAAAAAAAGTACGACACAATAATAATATTCAGGGAGTTCTACTTGAAACAGTTGAAATATCGTTATTTAAAAATCGTAAAGTTTAAGTATTTATCTCTGTTTATACCTCTATAAAATATTGCAACAAAGATCTTAAAAACAAAGTAATTGCGACTTTTTTTTCTGAACCCTTGTTTAAAAAAAAAAATCAAAAAAATTGGAATCACAATTGAGATAGGGCGGTTGGGCGGGCTTAAATTTTGCCTTTTTGTTTTAATATGTGTAGGCTTTTTTCACAACATGGAACTTAAAACAAGTTTAAAAGAAAATTTCTATAAGGAAATATCGATTTTGTAATGAGGCTTCATCCCATAATTGCAAAATACCTATTTCCTTGCAAAAATGTACCATTTTAACTATGTTTTAAGTTTTTTGTTTTGAAAAGATAGCTATGTATATTAAGAAAAAGAAAGGCAAAATATAAGCCCCGCCCACCCGCCCTGTCTCCATTCTGATGATCTTTTTATTTGTCGTGAGCCAAGGGGGCGGAGTCTAATTGCAAAATCCATATTTCCTTACAAAAATTTGCCATTTTAAACGCGTTATAGGTTTCTAAGAATAAAAAAAAAAACTTACAATTGAGATGGGGTGGGTGGGTGGGGTTTATATTTTGCCCCTTTTTCTTAATATACGTAGTATTCATTGAACAACACGATGCTCAAAACCATGTTTTTAATTTATTTTAAAGAAATAAGGATTTTGCAGTTAAGCTCCACCCTCTTGGTTCACAGCGTATAAAAAACTCGTCAGAATTGAAACGAGGGTGGATGGGCGGGTAATATATTTTGCCTCTTTTTTTTATTATAAGTACTTTTCTTTTCACAAAAAAAACTGAAAGCATGCAAAAAAAAGTCACAGAGAAATGTCGGAGGCAAAATTTATCTTCTTAAACATGTGTTCAGTCTCTTGTCATGAAAACAAAACTACGTATATTAAGAAAAATAAAGGAAAAATTTGAAAACCCGCCCACCCACCCTCATCTCATTTGTGATGACTTTTTCTTATTCATCGTGAGTCGGGGGCGGAGCTAAATAGCAAAATTATTTTCTACATTTAAAGTTTTTAAGAGACACAGCAACATATGAGACGCAAGAGAAAAAAAAAATAGAGTACGACACAATAATAATATACAGGGAGTTCTACTTGAAACAACTGAAATATTGTTATTTAAAAATCGTCAAGTTTAAATACTTATCTCTGTTTTTACCTGTATAAAATATTGCAACTGAAATCTGAAAAACAAAGTGATTGCGACTTTTTTTCTGAACCCTTGTTTTGCAAAAAAAGAATAGAAAATAAAAAAAATTGGAATTACAATTGAGATAGGGTGGGTGGGAGGGCTTAAATTTTGCCTTTTTGTTTTAATATGTGTAGAATTTTTTTCACAACATGAAATTTAAACATGTTTAAAATGGAAAATTTGTAAAGGAAATATCGATTTTGCAATAAAGCTCCAGCCCATAATTGCAAACTCCATATTTCTTTGCAAAAATGTACCATTTTAACCATGTTTTAAGTTTCTTGTTGTGAAAAGATGGCTATGTATATTAAGAAAAAGACAGATAAAATATAAGCCCCGCCCACCCACTCTATCTCAATTCTGATGATTTTTTTTATTGGCCGTTAGCTAAGGGGGTGGAGCTTAACTGCAAAATCCTTATTTCTCTACGAGAAATTAAAAACATGTTTTTGAGTATCGTGTTGTTCAAAAAATAGTATGTATTTTAAGAAAAAATTAAAATCAAAGAATAAGCTCCACCCATACCTGACCTTACTTAAATAACAATGAAGTTTTCATTCGTTGCCAGACCTAGGGGCGGAGCTTAATTGCAAAATCCATATTTCCTTACAAAAACTTGCCATTTCAAACGCGGTTTAAATTTGTAAGAATACAAAAAATCATCACAATCGAGATGGGGTGGGTGGGCGGGGTTTATATTTTGCCTCTTTTTCTTAATATACATAGTATTCTTTGAACAACACGATACTCAAAACCATGTTTAAATTCTTTCAAAGAAATAAGCATTTTTCAGTTAAGTTCCGCCCTCTTGGTTAACAGCGAATAAAAAACTCGTCACAATTGAAACGAGGGCGGGTGGGCGGGGTATATATTTTGCCTGTTTTTCTTATTATAAGTAGTTTTTTTTTTTACAAAAGAAACTGAAAACATGTAAAAAAATATCATAAAGAAGTGTCGGAGACAAAATTTACCACTTTAAACACGCATTCAGTCTCTTGTCTTGAAAAGAAAACTACGTATATTAAGAAAAATTAAGGAAAATATAAATACCCGCCCACCCACCCGCATCTCATTTGTGACGATTTTTTCTTATTCATCGTGCGCCGGGAGGCGGAGCTAAATGGCAAAAGTATTTTCTGTATTTAAAGTTTTTAAAAGACACACCAACATATGGGAAGCAAGAGAACAAAAAATAGAGTACGACACAATAACAACATACAGGGTGTTCTACTTGAAATTTTAGCTTATCGTTATTTAAAAAGCGTTAAGTAATTGCGGCTTTTTTCCTGAATCTTTGTTTTCCAAAAAAAAATAAACCAAAAAAATTGGAATCACAATTGAGATAGGGCGGGTGGGCGGGCTTAAATTTTTCCTTTTTGTTTTAAAATGTGCAAGTTTCTTGTTGTGAAAAGATGGCTATGTATAGTAAGAAAAAGAAAGGCAAAGTATAAGTATATTTTTGCTGCGTATTTATGTTACAACGGCAACGTCAACGGCGAACAGCAACATTAGCGACAAGTTTATAATCGACCTTTAAGCAACCAGATAGTTATGCAGATGCGTGTGATATTTGTCGTGAGTCCTTGGGCATTTACTAAGTCCAAAAGTGAGAGGCGGCACGTTTCCATGACCTACTGAAACCCGTATAAATCACGCCAATTTTTTAGCAATTGTAAAATTAGTAGTTAAATAAGATACCATTTTGGAAAGTCATGTGTCCGTAATAAAACTGTAAAAGAGCGATTTTTCACAATGTTCCCAGTCAAAAAAATTTCAAATGAACAACTTGAACGATAACTTCAACTTTAGCAAATTTTATTTCACAAATCATTATAAAGACATTATTGCTAAGGCTTACAAGATGTATGCTTTTATTTACCGCAGTTGTAGAGAATTTGTGAATCAGTGAATTTTTAACATATTATTTTTTTTCTTTGGTGAGATCAAGGTTGGAGTGCGGTGCAGTTATTTGGTACCCCATCTACGCAATCCATCGCAAGGAGAGTAAGTATTTCTAATAACTGTGGAACTTACTGATTCTGCCAAATTTGATATTGATTTAGTGCAGCATAAAAAAATTATCAGTAAACAGAAGTGTAAAGTGTGCATTTGAGATATTGTATAACGACAACTTTCACTGGGCCGCGTATACAAACCGATGCGTAGTGTATAAATACGTACGTTATAAAACATGGTAAGTAAAATTACTAAAATTATTTGTAACCTCGCTTCTAATAACATGCCGCAAATGAGCACCCCGAAAAAAAAAAGTCCAGCCCGCCCCTGTCGTCGCGAAAAGTAAATTTCGAGATTGCGGTCGTCGAACGCCGGAGCTTCTAGAAAGGTTTTGTTGCTGTAGCAACCGCAAATTTTGTACGTTCAAACACTAATTGAGAGGCCGTGTGATAATTTTGATGGCTTCATCGAGTGCTGTCGACGATGAAAAATCAATAGGAAATTACCGTTTTAAACAAATGAAGTGAAGAGGGAGGACGTCGCTTTAAATACTGTTTGTTCGAGTATTTTCCGATAAAAATATTTGTTTAAACGTTGATATTTGTCGCTTAATGAAAACAATTACGAGATAATTGTTGACGGCTCGCCTCGCTCCAAGTCTTTGTTTGCGTACACAGCCCGAGGCCACAATAAATATTTATCGCGAATTTGCATCTTCGATCAAATTCTCGCACGACGGGCAATTAGTTTTTGAGCGGTCGCGGGCGATTTGTACCTGCGAATTGCCCCCCGACCTGTCGTCGTCGTCGGCTATATTGCAACTCGAGGAGTTCAAACACAATCACCCGAAACGATCGCGGGCGCTACGCGAGATGAATAGCAAACGTTTGATTTGTCAGTTCTGATGGAAATGCATTCGCTTCGTGCCCCCGACAACCTATGAACCATTTGACGGACTAATTAAATAGTGTTGTCGGTGTCGCACCACAAACTGGGTCGGAAGGACCTCGCCTAATGTAGGCGACGGTCAGCGATACGTTCGGGGTCGAACGACAATCGAGGGCACGCTATTTATACACACTCTTCACAATTTTTTCCACCCTCGAATCGTTCCGTCCCCCAACGCACCTCCTCCTCGACCCGCCGCCCGCTCCGTCGCAACCTTATTGCTTAAGCATAGTTCAAAGTATACACTGTCCCGAAACTGGTTTGCGAAGTCACCACAGAAACCCGTCTGGAATCACTGAAAGGCACCGGTAGATAATAAGTGAGCATAGGGACGGACGAACCGACAGACAGCTGACCTCATACGGTCGTTTCCCGATCGACGTGTATGTACTCTACAGGCGGAGCTTTATGTCAAGAATTCAAACTATTGTCCAACAGCCTCGGTCCGGTGAGGAGCTTCTTCTTCGCGAGCCGCCTCCGACGCCGAGCCCGCAGCCGGTGCAGCGTGAGACACACCAGCAGCACGAGCGACGACAGCACCGCGGCGGCGGCCGCCAGAGCCGCCCCCGGCAGCGACGTCAGCAGCTTGGAGGCGGCGCCGCACTGCGCCTCCGACTCGTCCCACCCCGACGGACAGTGGTTCTTGCCGTCGCACCAGAGACTCGCACCGATGCACGCGTCCAGCTCGGGGCACTTGTGGGGGCACTCGAGGTCCGTCTCGTTGGCGGTGGCGTTGACGGGCACCTGCAGCTGCTGCAGGAGGGACGACCGAGAGCGCGAGATCTCCAGCCAGCTGAAGGCCGAGATCCCCGGCTCGCTGCTCACCCACTCGACGAGGAAGTTGGGGGGACGCTGCTGGACGGTAGCCAGGCCCTCGCCCCACCACTCCTCGCTGAAGACGTGGACGGCGAGCGGTTTGGCCCCAGGCTCGGCGGGACAGACGGCGCGGACGAGCTTCGGGGGGCGGCCGGAGTAGATGAGGACGCGGTTGTTGGTCGGGCAGCGGGTGTTCTCCTCGATGCGAGGCTTGAGAGGGAGGAAGGCGCCCCAGCTGAGCAGGAACAGGCTGCGGTTGTAGCGGGCCTCCACCAGCCATGGCATGCCTACGCAGAGCATCTCGCCGCGGTCCACAGGAGGCGTGTTGAATTGGACGTCACCTGGGGAGGGGTAAACTTTGTCAAAGAACATAGATCGAAGGCGCGGTGAGCGTCGGGAGGTGATTAACGAATTCGAATAGAGAAATCTCGTAACGGACTCCGGAACAACCTCGACTTCGTTTAGTACCTCCCTCGCTTCGTGAGAACATTTATGAAATACATATAGATAGACCCATGCTATTGTTTGGAGCGAGCAGGCCAAAGGCCGGCGAATAAGAGATGGCGTACCAACATTCGGCCGTCAAACGCCGGCGAAAAGCTTGGACACCAATCACGCGCATATGCAACACAAATCACAGCAACAATACATTTAATAAATCTACCACTCGATAGAGGGCAACGAAAAAAATTTGTAAAAATCTCATAGTAAGCATTTAGATAATTGACAACGTTGCCAGATGAGTCTAACACAACTTTGCCGTTATTTCTATTCGATTAGATTTTATTTCGTTTAAAAGTTTCTGGTAAATAAATGGAATTATTATAATGAATAAACAATGCAAACAAATTATTACTTGTTATTTTAAATACTTGTTAGTGTTGATGAAAATATAAATAGTTATTAAAGTTATTCTAAATAGCTCAAATTTTACAGTACGGGTGGGATGTTTCAGGACGAGTAGGTAGCCGATTCTTTAATTTCGAAACGAGTACTGCGAAAAGAGTTACTGGACGTATGTTATTATGTATTTTATTTCATACTGTCAACATATTTTTTTATTCGATAAAATAATTATTATTATTTTGAGAAAAAATCCAAATCGAGTCACTTTTTCTGACATCGTCAGCAACCGGTGTTTGGTAAATGTTTTAATTTGTTTATTCGTGCATCATTAATTGCCTATAACTTGGTCTCTTATCAGACCGGACCATAAAAATCATTTTCGCCATAACTCCTTGTTATCCGTAGTGGCTCCATGGATAACAGCCAAGGACGTTATAATAACAGCCGTGAACGTTATTTATTTAACAATATAATTATTATTTTTAATCAGATTTATTCCATCACGTTTTTTAATAAATTACAAATTAGTACAACACTAAAATAACCTTCTCCAGCAAAAAATCATCATCTGGTGCTTCCAGAATAAATCTGATGATTTGCTCATTTATAAGCATTTTTGCCTTATTTGGTTTATAAAATTCAGATTTGCGTTTCAGGAACATAAAAAGTTTTCCATATCTGTAACAAACGTAACTTTTGAGTAATAAAACGTAACTAAAAATGACAAATACTAGCCCAGAAATGTCGATACTTTCATGTAATTTCAAATATCGAGAGCAAAATATCGTCACTAATCCCCTCAACGCCTCTATTTTTACACCATATTGTAAAATGACTGAAACTCCTCCGACACGAACAACTTCAGTTCCTGCAGTTGACCGTATTTTTTCCTAGCCAAAGGTATCGAGGCAGAATATAACGCTTCAAGGTTAAATTTCCAGATATAAGATACAGAAAAAACGAAAACGTTCCTTTGCATAAAAAAAATAATTTAAAAAATGACATCCTGAATGGACCCAACCACATATTAGGGGACCATTGTAAATGTGCAAATTATTTTTGTAAACAAAGTGGACAAGGAAGTTCAACAGTTTTGCCTATAGCATAATCCTGAACTTGTGGTTTATAAATACATTATTGAGATTATTCGGCTTTTAGATTTCTCGATTTTTCTACTCTAGACGTTTCAATTTTTCAGTACTTCAATTTTGGGCATTTTCAATTTTTCCATTCTTCAAATTTTCGGTTTCTCCATTTTTTTTATTTTTCGATTTTTGAATTTCCCGATGTTTCAATGATACGATTTCTCAATTTTTATCCTCTTCAATTTTACGGTTTCTAAATATTTCGATTTTTGAATTTTTCAAATTTTGAAGTTTCTAAATTTTCAGTTTTCCGATTTCTGAAGTAATCTTTTTTTTAGTTTCCGATTTTCCCAAAGTTTCGATTTTTCACTTCTTTAATTCTTCAATTTTTCGATTTTTCAGGTTTTTGATGTTTCAATTTTTCAATTTCTCAGGATTTTGATTTTTCAATTTTTCGATTTTATAAGATTACGATTTTTCGACTTCTGGATTTACCGATTTTCAGTTTTTCGTTTTTTAAACTTTAGATTTTTCAATTTTCGGCTGTTTTATATTTCGATTTCTCAATTTTTCAACTTTTCGATATTTTAATTTTTTATTTTTGAAAATTCTAAATTTTTGATTTCTCGAGTTTTCGGTTCTTCCATATTTCAATTTTTCAATTTTCGGGATTTTTAAGATTTTCTATTTTCCATTTATTTTTTTAACTTTCCGATTTTCCAATTTTTCAATGTTTCGATTTTTCAATGATGTTATTTTCACGTTTGCCTGTGTGGTGATTCCCTCTACTTCGTCAATCGAAGATACAAAATAGAACAAATCCAAACAACGATTAACAAAAACACTTTTTTAGTCAACAGATATCAGAAACAAATTTGAACCTTTCCAGATACTACTAAAATTATGGCGTCGTATTTTAAGTATTCTGTCAAATTTTTATTTGATCTTGATTTTGATTTTGATCTTGTGAATTTTCTTGTTAAGAGTAAAACTTTAATATCTTGTTTTGACCCAGATTTCATGTTTTCTGGGCGTGTCGAATTTTATCAGGCAGATAATGTCCGAAAAATCTAAATAAACAAGCTACTGAAGACTATATCGGACCGATTGTTGTCAAATTGGTTATGTTGCTAGGAATGTCGTACCGAAAATTTGGCTATTCACCAACAATTTAATGTCCCTAATTTTTTTTTTACTCTTATAAGAAAAGGCACTAGCCCCGCCCACCCACCCTTTATTTTCTTTGAAGAGTGGATCATCTTATTTTAACAAGTACTAGCCCAGCCCACCCACCCTTGTTTTCTTAGAGGATATGTCATTTGCAAAAATCAGTCTCATATTTGATTTTGGTAGATGACCTATTATTTATTTTCTTAGAAGCGTAGGTCATTGGCCAAAATGAGTCTTATTTTGGCAAATACTAGCCCGGCCCACCCACCTTTTATTTTCTTAGAGGGTAGGTTATTTGGCAAGAACTAGCATACCCTAGAACTAGAATACCCGTCTCGAAGGACCAATGTTTGTGCAACTCGGCTCGTCCTACCAGTGTTTTGGTTGATACGTCAATGTGATACCGAATTGTACTTTGATATTGCTGGAAGGACCTTTGTTTTGTTGTGTGCGAAATAATAGACAGCGTTCGGTTTCGATGTTTAATACAGAACGGTTACAGAAGTACTAAATTTACACTTGTATTTACAATAACAGGTAAAGCAAAAGATACCCAAAAGGGTCAGTGGCCGCTTCCAGAAATGGAACACTTGTCCTTTTTGGCTCAATTTTATGGGACTTGTCCGTCTTTTGATTTTTCCGGACTCGTTCGAATCCCGTAAAACGTCAAACTTGACATAGTATGAAGTAAAATAAATAAATTTTATAATGCAAATACAATTAAGTACATCGATAACTCGCTACTGAAAATTTAGTGAAATATAATTTGTGTTAAAAAAAGATTTTTGTGGTTTTGTGGTTTTACGGTTTTATGTAATTAAAATAAATAATATCAAGAACTTGTATTATACATTAAAAACATTCATTGTAAATAAGAAAATTATGTAAATAAACCATAAAACCATACAAAATTTTCCTGCAACCTCTATTCAAAATCCCAATTTATCAATAGGAATTAAGGCACAAAGATGCTTCACTGAATTTAAAACCGATTTTTCAAGAAAAGTATGCTTATAAGCCTATAAGCGTCTAATGGATTAAAACAACAAATAATAATCATAATTTGTTTGTTTTATTTGTTCATTATAATAATCCCATTTATTTACCAGAAACTTCTAAATGAAATAATATCTGGTTGACGAGAGATGTCCGTAAATTTGTGTTAGGCTCATCTGGCAACGTTTTCGGTATTTAGGTATCAATGGAATAATGCGATTAGGGATACTGACCGTTTTAAGGAGTGCTCGTCCAATAGTGCGTAAACTAAAAGATTTGGTAAATTTTCTTGGAAGAGTTTGTTTCTTCAATGAAAATTTATGGTTTTTAACTCTTCTGCCGAGAATAATTTCTAAAGCTGTTCCATTTTTCCACTGTTTGTTTTCTTTGAGATACGAGTAGTTCTTGTGACGAAGTGAAACACCAAAAAGTGTAAAGTCCGGAAATCAGAGTGTATTTTAAAACGCATAAAAACGACTTCTTTATTTATTTAAATATTGTCCTGTAACGTCCTACGACTTGGAATGGAGTTTCTTAATGTACAAAAGTATGTTAGATAATAACCGAAAAATTTTCTTGGTTAAAACTAAAGGAAACACAATTATTACTTGGAATAAAAATAAAGAATATCAAGAACTTGTGCTATGTATTAAAAATATTTAATTTAAATAAGTAAATTATGTTAATAAACTATAAAACCACAAAAATCTTCTTTAACACAAATTATATTTCAATAAATTTTCAGTAGCGAGTTATCGATATACTTAATTGTATTTACATCATAAAATGTGAAAGCAAATGTCTTATTTTTGACTTTATGCGGCATATGTTTCCCGTTTTTAAGATATATTATATGAATGCATATGTTTTGTCTTCAGTATTTATCTGCCCGTCTCTAGTCTAATAAATTTTCTAAAAAAATATAGTAAGTTTTGAAAAAACACATTTAAAAGCATTTTCCTTTGTATTATTAGTAACAAAAGCGAGCATACGAAAGCGTAGCAAAAATTTCAAATGTGTTATTTACATTTATTTTACTTCATACTGTGTCAAATTTGACGTTTTACTGGATTCGAAGGAGTCCGGTAAAATAAAAAAAACGGACAAGTCCGGTAAAATTGAGCTAAAAAGGACAAGTCCTGTAAAGTGTTACTATGTGTTTAAACATTTTTGATGCTGATTTGCACGAATAAACAAATTAAAACATTTACCAAACAGCGGTTGCTAACGATGTCAGAAAAAGTGACTCGATTTGGATTTTTTCTTAAAATAATAATAATTTTATCGATTAAAAAAATATGTTGACAGTATTAACAACATACGTCCGGTAACTCTTTTCGCAGTACTCGTTTCGAAATTAAAAACTCGGCTACCTACTCGTCCTGAAACATCCCACTCGTACTGTAAAATTTGAGCTACTGGACCGTATTTAGAATAACTTTAATAACTATTTATGTTTTCATCAACACTAACAAGTTAAAATAGCAAGTAATAATTTGTTTGTATTGTTTATTCATTATAATAATTCAATTTATTTACCAGAAACTTTTAAACGAAATAAAATCTAATCGACTAGAAATAACGGCAAAGTTGTGTTAGACTCATCTGGCGACGATGTCAATTATCTAAATGCTTACTATGAGATTTTTACGCATTTTTTTCGTCGCCCTCTATCGAGTGGTAGATTTATTAAATGTATTGTTGCTGTGATTTGTGTTGCATATGCGCGTGATTGGTGTCCAAGCTTTTCGCCGGCGTTTGACGGCTGAATGTTGGTACGCCATCTCTTGTTCGCCGGCCTTTGGCCTGTTCGCTCCAAACAATAGCATGGATCTATCTATATGTATTTAATCAATGGTGAGAAAGTCGCGTCCCGCCAAAGAGTGTCCGCGCTAGTTGCCATACCTCCATAACCTCTTACTCTCTGCTTCCTTGGACAATCGGGCATCTTGACCACTTCGAAAGTAGCATGAAAATGTAGCACCGTGAAATCTTCAGTAATATTCATGTCTTTGGCAGTGAAGTGCAATTCTAGAGTCCTAGAGGCGGATAAGAACACTAACGGTTTACTACTTAACGAGGAATTATCACAAATACAACCGCGAGGCATACGAACGTCTTTCCACGGCAACTCCCACACACTCAACTCCGTCACTTTGGTACTAGAATAGTGTTCGCAGACTGGCCGTCCGCTATGAGGGTCCGTCAAGGTTTCGCACAACTGACTTATCCCGAAAGAAGCGTTATTCACGACGAGCCTTACGCGTTCACCCGCGTCGGCTTCAAACCTGTAGACGCAATGCAAGTCTTTGGTACCACCTCGACCGTACAAGAAAACGTTCCTGGGAGTGGTGAGCTCGCCGAGGTGGTTCTTCTTAAAAACCCTATGGCAAGTGTTAGTTTCTTTGCCTGGCCAAGGTTCTCCTCCTAGTCTAGTATCGACGAACTCGTACTTCATCCGGAAGGACGCGGGATGCAGCGCAGTCCCGTCCTCCGTGTGGTGTTGCAAGATCAAATTTCGTCCCGAAGACAAGTAACTCTCGTCGAGGGCGCACGGTCTGGTCACTCGCGTTGCGTTGGTTAAGGCGCTGTGGTCGCAGAGTCGTGGTGGTTCGTCGCATTTGTCTTCCAGAAGGAGAGTGCCGTCCCAGATGCGCAACCTGGTTGAGCAACCACCTCCTAGTGAACTGTTACTAAGTAAAGCGTGAGCGCTCTCTCCGACCAGGAGCGCCCTTTGACTGTACGAAATGAAACTAATCCACACCAGGTCGTGCGAATGCCCTCTGAATCTGTACGTGCACGTCGTGTTCGGCGGCAACGAGTGTCGAGGACTCACCAATCTCCCTTTCCGTCCTCGCCCCGTCCAAATTTCATCACTATCCGGGTTCGTAGCGTTCACGTCGAACTCGCACTGGCTGTGTCTCGAGTAATCCAACGAATCCGAATCTGCAAAAATCACGTCCACGTCGAGTTCAAAACCTCGCAGAGGCGAATGCGACGGTGGCGAATGCAACGGTATGCTAAACGGCGACGAATGAAAAGCCACCAACATCTCCGGTCCTCGCGATACCACCTTAGGCAACCAGTCCCCTCCGCAGTACTTAGCCAATACCGGATCGTTCGTCGAGCCTCCATCATAAAAAATCAAATGGTCCCGTTCTCCGGTGCAGTCCCTCCAGGCCCTCAAAGCCCTCGCCGTCTTGTTCAAGCCCGCCACGTTGATCGACCTCTTCATGTGCATCTTGTGGGCCGCCTCTTGACGGACGGCAATCATGGCGTGCTTGCACGTCGGGACGAACTTCTGGCGCAGGCTCCAGTAGCACGAGACGTTCCTGGGGTACATTCCCGGGTAGTTGGGCGACTGGAGACGGCACGGTTTCCGGTAGCACTCTTCGAACTGGCGCGTGCAGTAAGTACCGGGAGCTACTTGCCCGCGTTCTAGAGGAGCCGCCGGGGACCCGAATCGTACCACAGCTTCGCGACGCGACACGAAGCGGTAGCGCAGCTGGAACTTAAACGGGATCTGGGGCGAGCCGAAGAGTTTGACGCTGACGGTAACGGTTGACGTCTCGCTGTAGTAAGCGGCAGGACCGGAAGAAGAGCCACACCATGAACCTCCAGTGAAGGGACGACCCAGCTCGCTGAGTTGCATGTACCCGTCGGGACAGCCGTCGAGAGCAGACGCTTCGTAGCGACCCACCTTGAACTCGTCGAATATTATCTGCAACGAAAAGACTGTGTCAATTATGTTGAGAGAGAACGTCCGCGCGGCAGCCCCGTAGCTAGAAAACTTATTCAGGGGGGGCAAGTTTGTCGACAGAGGGGGCTTCATGTAAATATTTATATTTTAATAATACACTCAGATAACTACTTTATTTTTTCTGAGTTTTTATATTTGAAAGAACATTAAAATAATTGGAAACGTCGATTTTTCACGCTAAATTTTCGTAAAAACCTGTCGAAGTCCAAAAAATTAGTACGGTACTTGGTTAAAATGCTGGTTAAAACAGAGAATGTAGATTCACAAACAGCTGTACTGCATCCAAAAATTTGTGTAGTGACCATATAGGTAACATCCAATTTGTTTGAGTTTATTTTTTTGCATGTTTAGTACATATTTTAAAAATCCGACTTCGAAACCAAATATTTCGAAAATTTTGGTACGGAACCATGAACTCGTCATGTTTTTTTAAACTCGTCGAGATGTGTATTTCAGAATTTTTTGTCAACTTTAACAAAAGCTCAATTTTTGGAAACCTATATAAAACTTTGACTTTTCCCAAGCATTTTCGAAAATTACCAAAAGAATTCCTTTGTTCATCTCGATTTCTTCCAAAAATCGTTTTGGATTCAATTTTTTTGAAAATTCTTACATTTTTTGCAGAATCGACGGAAGAAAAATGGCAATTTTTGAGAACCTGTATCAAATTTTTGACCTTTTTCAAGCACATTCGAAATTACCAAAAGGGATTCCTTTATTGATTTCGATCTCCAGATGTTGTTTTTGGTTGTTTTTTCGAAAATTCGTACAATTTTTCCATAATCGCCAAAAGAAATATGGTAATTTTTGAGAAATTTTGAAAATTCCAGCTCGAAACCGAGTATTTCGAATATTTTGATCCGGAACCTTGAACCTGTCATGGTTTTTTAAGCTTGTCGAAATCAATATTTCAGAATTTTTTGTCAACTTTTACGAAAGTTCAATTTTTGAAAACCCATAAAATTTTTGGCTTTTCCCAAGCATTTTCGAAAACTACCAAAAGAGATTCCTTTGTTCATCTCGATTTCCAGAAATCGTTTTGGATTCAATTTTTTTGAAAATTCTAACTTTTTTTCCAGAATCGACGGGAGAAATATGGCAATTTTTGAGAACCTGTGTCAAATTTTTGACTTTTTTTCAAGCACGTTCGAGATTACCAAAAGGGATTCCTTTATTGATTTCGATCTCCAGATGTTGTTTTTGGTTGTTTTTTCGAAAATGCGTACAATTTTTCCACAATCGCCAAAAGAAATATGGTAATTTTTGAGAAATTTTGAAAATTCGAGCTCGAAACCGAGAATTTCGAAAATTTTGATCCGGAACCATGAACCTGTCATGTTTTTTTAAGCTCGTCCAAATCTATATTTCAGAATTTTTTGTCAACTTTTACGAAAGTTCAATTTTTGAAAACCCATATAAAATTTTTGACTTTTCCCAAGCATTTTCAAAAATTATCAAAAGAGACTCCTTTGTTCATCTCGATTTCCAAAAATCGTTTTGGACTCAATTTTTTTGAAAATTCTTACAATTTTTCCAGAATCGACGGAAGAAATGTGGCAATTTTTGAGAACCTGTATCAAATTTTTGACTTTTTTTTAAGCACGTTCGAGATTACCAAAAGGGATTCCTTTATTGATTTCGATCTCCAGATGTTGTTTTTGGTTATTTTTTCGAAAATTCGTACAATTTTTCCACAATCGCCAAAAGAAATATGGTAATTTTTGAGAAATTTTGAAAATTCGAGCTCGAAACCGAGAATTTCGAAAATTTTGATCCGGAACCATGAACCTGTCATGTTTTTTTAAGCTCGTCCAAATCTATATTTCAGAATTTTTTGTCAACTTTTACGAAAGTTCAATTTTTGAAAACCCATATAAAATTTTTGACTTTTCCCAAGCATTTTCAAAAATTATCAAAAGAGACTCCTTTGTTCATCTCGATTTCCAAAAATCGTTTTGGACTCAATTTTTTTGAAAATTCTTACAATTTTTCCAGAATCGACGGAAGAAATATGGCAATTTTTGAGAACCTGTATCAAATTTTTGACTTTTTTTCAAGCACGTTCGAGATTACCAAAAGGGATTCCTTTATTGATTTCGATCTCCAGATGTTGTTTTTGGTTGTTTTTTCGAAAATTCGTACAATTTTTCCATAATCGCCAAAAGAAATATGGTAATTTTTGAGAAATTTTGAAAATTCGAGCTCGAAACCGAGAATTTCGAAAATTTCGATCCGGAACCATGAACCTGTCATGTTTTTTTAAGCTCGTTCAAATCTATATTTCAGAATTTTTTGTCAACTTTTACGAAAGTTCAATTTTTGAAAACCCATATAAAATTTTTGACTTTTCCCAAGCATTTTAAAAAATTATCAAAAGAGACTCCTTTGTTCATCTCGATTTCCAAAAATCGTTTTGGACTCAATTTTTTTGAAAATTCTTACAATTTTTCCAGAATCGACGGAAGAAATATGGCAATTTTTGAGAACCTGTATCAAATTTTTGACTTTTTTTTAAGCACGTTCGAGATTACCAAAAGGGATTCCTTTATTGATTTCGATCTCCAGATGTTGTTTTTGGTTGTTTTTTCGAAAATGCGTACAATTTTTCCACAATCGCCAAAAGAAATATGGTAATTTTTGAGAAATTTTGAAAATTCGAGCTCGAAACCGAGTATTTCGAAAATTTTGATCCGGAACCATGAACCTGTTATGTTTTTTTAAGCTCGTCCAAATCTATATTTCAGAATTTTTTGTCAACTTTTACGAAAGTTCAATTTTTGAAAACCCATATAAAATTTTTGACTTTTCCCAAGCATTTTCAAAAATTATCAAAAGAGACTCCTTTGTTCATCTCGATTTCCAAAAATCGTTTTGGACTCAATTTTTTTGAAAATTCTTACAATTTTTCCAGAATCGACGGAAGAAAAATGGCAATTTTTGAGAACCTGTATCAAATTTTTGACCTTTTTCAAGCACATTCGAAATTACCAAAAGGGATTCCTTTATTGATTTCGATCTCCAGATGTTGTTTTTGGTTGTTTTTTCGAAAATTCGTACAATTTTTCCATAATCGCCAAAAGAAATATGGTAATTTTTGAGAAATTTTGAAAATTCCAGCTCGAAACCGAGTATTTCGAAAATTTTGATCCGGAACCTTGAACCTGTCATGTTTTTTTAAGCTCGTCGAAATCTATATTTCAGAATTTTTTGTCAACTTTTACGAAAGTTCAATTTTTGAAAACCCATATAAAATTTTTGACTTTTCCCAAGCATTTTCAAAAATTATCAAAAGAGACTCCTTTGTTCATCTCGATTTCCAAAAATCGTTTTGGACTCAATTTTTTTGAAAATTCTTACAATTTTTCCAGAATCGACGGAAGAAATATGGCAATTTTTGAGAACCTGTATCAAATTTTTTACTTTTTTTTAAGCACGTTCGAGATTACCAAAAGGGATTCCTTTATTGATTTAGATCTCCAGATGTTGTTTTTGGTTATTTTTTCGAAAATTCGTACAATTTTTCCACAAGCGCCAAAAGAAATATGGTAATTTTTGAGAAATTTTGAAAATTCGAGCTCGAAACCGAGAATTTCGAAAATTTTGATCCGGAACCATGAACCTGTCATGTTTTTTTAAGCTCGTCCAAATCTATATTTCAGAATTTTTTGTCAACTTTTACGAAAGTTCAATTTTTGAAAACCCATATAAAATTTTTGACTTTTCCCAAGCATTTTAAAAAATTATCAAAAGAGACTCCTTTGTTCATCTCGATTTCCAAAAATCCTTTTGGATTCAATTTTTTTGAAAATTCTTACAATTTTTCCAGAATCGACTTAAGAAATATGGCAATTTTTGAAAACCTGTATCCAATTTTTGACTTTTTTCAAGCACGTTCGAGATTACCAAAAGGGATTCCTTTATTGATTTCGATCTCCAGATGTTGTTTTTGGTTTTATTTGGTTGAAAAGTCGTAAAATTTTTCAGCAATCGCCAAACGAAATGTAATTTTTGAACTTTGAAACCGAATGTTTCGAAAATCTTGATCTGGGACCATCTAGACCTTGTGTTTTTTGATTGAGCTCGTCGAGATCAACATTTCAGATTTTTTTGTGGATTTTTAGTCAACTTCAACAAAAGCTAAATTTTTGAAAATCTATAAAATGTTTATGACTTTTCCCAACCGTTTTCGAAAATTAGCAAAAGGGATCTCTTTATCGATTTCGATCTCCAAATGTTGTTTTTGGTTTTATTTTCTCGAAAATTTGTACAATTTTTCCAAAGCCGCCAAAAGAAATGTAATTTTTGAGAAATTTTGAAATGTCGACTTTGAAACCGAATTCTTCGAAAATCTTGGTCTGGGACCATCAAGACCTTATGTTTTTGGGTTAAGCTCATCGATGTCTACATCTCGGAATTTTTTGTTGATTTTTTGTTAATTTCAACAAAACCTCAATTTTTGAAAATCCATATACATTTTTTGACTTTTCCCAAGCATCTTCGAAAATTAGCAAAAGGGATCTTTTTATTGATTTCGATCTACAGATGTTATTTTTGGTTTTATTTTTTTGATATTTCGTCGAATTTTTCCACAATCGCATAAAGAAATAACTTTTTTTTAAGTTACTTTTGAGATTTTTTAGAAATTTTAGGTAGAACCCAATATTTCGTAAATTTTGCTCCGGGAGCATGAACATGTTTTTCGATTAAGCTCATCGAGATCTATATTTCAGAATTTTTTGTCAACTCTAACAAAAGCTCAATTTTTGAAAACTAAATAAATTTTGACTTTTCTTAGCATTTCCAAAAATTACCGAAAGTCATTCTTTTATTTATTTCAATCTTCAGATGTTGTTTTTGGTTTTATTTGATCGAAAATTTGTAAAATTTTTCTAGAATCGTCAAAAGAAATAGGAGTATAATTTTTGAGAAATTTTAAAAAGTCGACTTGGAAACCGAATAGC